CCCTTTCCCCCATGACCTCCTCAGGACCGCGGCATGTTCTCCCATGGAGGCAAAGTCCCCCACGAGCTGTTCGAGGAGAGCTCTCAGCTGGCGCCACACGGGGTCCCGTCTGGCATTGCGCGGGATCTGTCTAGCTCCAGACTGGGCCAGGACCCACAGCAAGGTGACACTGCCTTTTTTGTTTGTTATTTGGGGAAAGGGGGGGGGGTTGTTGTTGTTGATATTTTCTTTTTTTTAAAGACTTTTATCTAGACTCATACAAGGTGACACTGTCTTTTTATTTTTTAAAATTTATTTATTTATTTGTTTATTTATTTATTTATTTATTCATCCATTCTTCCTTTCTTCCATTATTTCATTCATTTATTCATTTATTCGTTTATTCATTTATTCATTTATTTATTTATTTAATTGGGGTTGTTGTTGATGTTTTCCTGATTTTCACTTTTATCTAAACCCACAACACGGTGATACTGTCTTTTTTGTTGTTTCTGTTATTCACTTTTTTTCTGACGCTTATTTTTATCTAGACCCTAATCAAGGTGACACTTTTTTGTTGTTGCTTTGATTATTAATATTTTCCTGAATTTAACGTTTTTCTTCCTTGTATGGATTAATATTCGTCTCTGTTTGCTTGTCGTTTTTGTTACGTAATTTATTTTAAGTTGATTTGTTCTGAAGACCGGAGCTCTGGAGGGTTTGTTTGGCATCTTTTGCTACAATGTAATTATCTTTTAAACTTAATTAGCGCTCATATGACCTTAGCAGTTGCGAGCGCCGTAAAACCCTATACTACTACACAAACTTAATTACGTCCTTGCAAAACTCGAAATTGTGTCTTCTGTCCCGAGACAAAATGCCATTACGTTCAGAATTTTGCAGATTTTTTTCTGAATGATTATGATGATACTGTTATCAGCGCGTTTCAGGCCTGTCGACTCTGATATGTTCTCCTCCCATCTTTTCTTCTGCCTTCCTTTCCTTCTGTCCCCTTGTACCGTCCTCTGCTGGGCTGTCTTTGCTGCTTCATACGATATAGTGAGGTTCATCATCATCATGAAGTATCAGATCTGAGACAGACATCGACGGTTCTCCATTCATTCCATTGCTCGGATTCTCTAAAATAAGCGTACATTATTATGACCTTTCCTCATTACTCATATATTTTGGCTCCCCAAGTAGGATGCTCTAAGTCTACCCCTGCCTCGTTTTACCTTCAGTTATGCAAGTGGGAGCTGAATGTTCACGGTCTTTCTGTCTATTCAAAGGTCGTAGAAACTGCATTTATTGTCTTTTCCTGGTTGTTTTTATCTATCAACGTTAAGCTATCTAAAGAATAGTGTAAGTCCTCGAAAACTGTCAGCTCAAACGTGTTTGTCTCTCCACAGAGTACGGGGCAATGTCTTACGACGGCGCCTCCAATCTGAGCGTCCAAGGAAGCAAGCAAGGTCAAGGTCAGTAATCATCGTCTCTTGTTCTCTGCTCAAGGTTACATCTAACCTAACCTTCACTTCCTGGTCGACGCTTTGTGAATTCGAATCTTACTGTGTGTTTAAAACAATGCTTACCCATTTTAACAGCTTTGGCTAATTTCACATGTTTTACGGCCCCATCTACACAGTTTAGATCTTTTAGGAGGCGGAATGCTTCAACCGTATCTCTTAGGATTAACCCAGAAGCTGTGCAGAAGTCATGAAATAGCTTCCCGAGTCGAAAATGAATCCATTTTTATTCTGCGTGCAACACCGAAAAGAGCATAGCAATTTAACCAGCGTTCTGATGTGAACAAGTTTAAGTGAACCATGGTGATAGTAAAATCAATAAAACCATCTGCATTATCTGTAGTAAATTTTCAAAGGAGCAAATAGGCTACAGATGATACATATACATGTAATTTTATTTTTCTGAAGCCAAGTTCTCTGTGGAAATAAAGTTTAACTTTTGTCCCCTTATCAGACAATTCCAAAACAAATAATAAGGCTGTATATTAGACAGTTTCATTTTCTATGAAATCTAGGTCGGTTTGGAAATAAGTGTGTTTTTTTCCTACCGTCTTTTTTAACTCAGGGGGCGGGCGAGCGGACTACAACGACAGAAACATGGAGAACCCGATGCATCATGTGAGTGGACACTGGTCAAACATTCACCATCTGGATTGTTTCCATAGAATATTACTTTTTCCTGAAATCTTTCAGTCCAAAGCTGTACTCTTTGAAAGAATGTCTTTGCGATATTTTGACGTTGGTTTCACTCTTTGAGAATTTGTTTTGCATTGTCCGTCGTTCTGTCTGAAGATGTTGAATCTACTCCTCTAAAGAATTAACTTAGAGCACATTGTATCCAGAAGTACAGGTTACGCTTGGTCATTACTTAGAAGCGAGTCAGACAGGAGCGGAGGCTTGTGGAGAGTTTGGGGTAGGGGATGAGGGAGGGGAGGAGGCGATTACCGGTGAAAAGGGACAGACAAGTTGCATGTTTTTTTAAAATGAATTCGAGGGAAGCCAGTTAGATATATACAAGTATGCTATGGATTTAATCTGCTCTCTTATAATGGCTGGAAATCTTTCTCTGGCCTGTTACCTGGGCAGTGTTTATTTATGGCACAAATACATGTTTTGACATTGAGATTTCACATTTCTTATCTTGGCTGGTTTTGTAGAGATTCACATGCTGCTGGCATTTGCTGTTAAGATTTCCTACCCGTCCTCTTTCAAAAGTACTTTGATTAGCAAATGAATATTCCCGCTATAACAGTCTCAAGGGGACACTAGGTGACCTATCAGGTTTTTAGCAAGAAGCAGTTGTATGTGATGCTTAAATGCAAAAAGAAAACGTAACATAAATAGTAATGAATGATGTGAAACCTGAAAAGCTTCAAGTACGAGCGTCAGATCTATACAGAAGCAGCATAAAAACCACTAGACAAACTATAATGACTTCCCATTGTTGTTTCAACTTGAGACGCCGATGCTTCCAAGAATGAAATGCGTTGTTTCCTTTAAGGAATTCGGATAGGATACGTGAACCCTAAGTTTACTCAGCCAAGACAGAAATCTTAAGTTAACACCTGTTTCTTATCGTAAGAGTTTGACGGTATTTGCAACACAATAAGGACATATAAGTACCGAAGATTAGAGCCTAGAGGTGTTACAAGATAGTAAAAAACACAAAAAGATGAGATAACACTCGGTTCAAAAACATAAATTAATGAATGGTATATGTAGCGAGCGAACTTAAAAGGGCTCTAAACTGCAAGCGCTTTATTTAAGAGACGTAACCGAGGATAAAAAATCATAGGTGTTCTTTTATTAGAGGGAAGACGAGTAGACTGGATCTTAGGCTTTTTCATATTGACTCGTAGTCCCCAAACATTGAAGACACCAATAATCAACGTCAGAAAAAAAACATGACCTTTGGCTCTCAACAGCAAAAGTCATCATTCTATTTCTGGGGTCAGACATTTCTTCGGAAGCTAGAGAGCATTAATTATCCCCCTTAGGTGTGCTTGGAAATCTTGCGTGACCTCTCTGGGCGGAAAGGTTATTCAGGGGCGGAGGCTGAGGGCAGATTTAGGACTACGATAGAATGGCTGTTGAGCTTCGAATTTATACTGTGAAACTCACTGGCATGAGCTAGTAAGTTTCTCTGTCAACCAGACTAGTACTCTTAGCTTTTTGGTCCGAGCGTTCAGGGTCTAAGCAACCCGCCTCCTAAATAATCCAAACTGATAATGGCATAGCAACACATTTCCCGTTTATCAATAATTCGTTCCACTTTAACTCCTAGTCTGTTAAGTGCGTGCATGTGTGCGTGTGTGTGTGTGTGTGTGTGTGTGTGTGTGTGTGTGTGTGTGTGTGTGCATGTCGTGTGCGTGTATGTGTGTGTGCATGTGCGTGTGCGTGTGTGTGTGCATGTGCGGGTGCATGTGCGTGTGCGTGAGTGCGTGCTTGCGTGCGTGTGTGTGTGTGTTTGTCTCTGTGTGTGGTAATAGTTATAGTTATGTTTACCGTATATAGTCATGTATTATGAATACATATAAGTATACTTGCAAGTCTATCAGTATGATGATCATCATCGTCAATGCCTTTCCCCACTGGCAGGGTATAGGCCACATACAATCTCCTTCCATTTATCTCTGTACTGGGCCATCCTTCCAAGCTCGTTCCAAGTGAGCTTCATCTCTCTCATGTCCCTTTCCACGATTCCCCTCCCTGTTTCCCGTTGCCTACCCCTGCCTCGTGCTCCCTGTGGGTGGCAGTGACTGTCTTGTGATGTTTCCGCTGTGCTTTGTTAAGGTGTGTCCCTTCCATCGCTACTTTCTTAGTCCTACTTCTTTCGCTTGTGTCCAGTTCATAGTCCAGACTGGTTCAAGCGGGTCTCGCTGATTCTTAGTATCGTAGTATGTGTAGTTAGTATCGGGGCATCTCTTGGAGGACCTGTACAGCTGTTCCAGCCTCATAAAGGGTCCTAACGTTCCATGATCCAAACCGAAGAGACTTGGACTTGGATGATGGTGGGAGCTTCTGCCTTGCAGTTTCCTTTCGGCTCTCTCTGCCTCGCATTCGGAGAAGATCCACGACGAGCCAAGCTGAGATAATGGTTTTTGCTTGTATGTGTTTCTGTAACAGGTTCTTTTTACGAGAGAGGTTGTTAGCCTCGTGACTCAACCTCCGACCTGGAGGGAGGATGACTCTGTTTCGGGAGTCACAACCTGGTTCACCATTTAGTCGCCTCGTACGACACGCTAGCTTCACGTCAGTCCTATTCTTCTCAATGCCGGGACTGCACGACAGCTATCTGTCTATATATCATTTTAATAACTGTGCATGAGCTAATCTATCTATCTATCTATCTATCTATCTATCTATCTATCTATCTATCTATCTATCTATCTATCTATCTATCTATCTATCTATCTATATATCTATCTATCCCTGTCTGCTTGTCTATATAAAATCTGGTTTTGACTTTGTTCTCTCCCCCCTCCAGGGTTACAACCAGGGCAGTTCTGACCGTATCGCCATGTTCGAGCCGCCCCGTCTGCCCACACATATCTACCAGCAGCAGCCCAGGAACAGTCACGACCAGGATTACGGCCCTTGATGGACACCTTTTCCTCACGTCTGCAAGTTCTATGGCCCTGACAAGAAACATGGCGACACCCCGCCCTCCCCCACCCTTCAACCTCAAAACTTATTCGCGTTTTTAAAAAGAAAGAAACAAACAAAAAAACCAAGCAAAAGCAACACACTACAAAAAACCAAAAAGAGAAAATAACAAAAAACACAACTGAAGAACGTCTAAAACAAAGCGAAAAGAACGACAAATTTAGACAAATTAACAATGACAACAAACCTTTGAATTCAACACGAAACGCATCTGAAAATAAAACTGTGTGTAAAAGAGTAATCATTCAATCTGACATATCCTTGTTTCAAAATAACAAAACAATATTATGGTTTTACATTCGTTTGTGAGGAACGTATCTTGAATACAACCAGGTTCTTACAAAACCTCTATTTACCTTTAGAAACGAAACAAGAATGTTTTCCCATTGCATCGCTGGCGGTTTCTATCATTATATTGCACGCTGATGCATCTGCAGAGCATGATACATCTTGTAGCATACATTCTTTGGACATTCCTTGCAAGGAAAGAAGTGAATATATATTACGAATTGAAGGTTTCTATCAACTGCAGTGTGTAGTAAAATTTTAGTTAAAATATAGCATCTCATCTTTGCAAAGAGACGTAGATCTAATTGAGGGCATTATTGTTGTAGAAGTCGATTTATGGATGATGATATTGAGAGGATTCTCTGACGTGTGATAATGTGGATAATATTGTCTTTTGGAGAGAGAGAGAGAGAGAGAGAGAGAGGGAGAGA